AACTAATGATGAAGATCTCAAACGGTGTCAACTGCCGCCATAATCGGCTGCCATCAGAGTATTTAATTCAAATTTCAGAATGGGTATCATGATAATCATAATAAAGGATTATCGTAATGTATAAACAGAAGTACCTGACTACAAACGCGTTGTAGTGGAAAAAGTGTGTCATGACTTCAATTAGAAGGAAATTTAGGATCCACCTTACTCCATAACAACATATCTGCCCAACTGAATAGTTTTTCTGAGGTACATCTAACTGCAAGGTCGCTACATAAACAACCGGTTAGTAATATGTAACTGGGGGATCTCTATAGCACCAAAGAGTAAAGTCACTGCTTAAACACACAGATCAAATCTTCTATGGACTACTGCAACACAGTTTATAAAGTCACCAAGTACAATTTGAAATTGAAATCAGTTAGTGTTATGTATAGTCGATGCCATACATTCCTTTTTCAAGCTACGAAGGCAGCATGTGTGTTTGAATGCATAATAGGTAAGACTGACAGCCTGTAATAAGACTCATAGATGTTTCATTCGGAATGTTGCAAATATTAATGTATTGTTTTGAACTTTTGATTATGTAGCTTAAGAATCAAGTAATGTGAAAAAAAATCCTTTCGTAAATCATAATCCATAACCAAAAATCATTCAAGAAAGCACTTCTTTTGCTGTTTTCAGCTTTCAAAATTGAAATAAGACAAATCAGCTACAGCAGAAAACTACCTAGATAAAAGACTAACCTGAGCTGCAAATGCGTTGTAGCTTACAACAGGTCCAGCAATATAGAGTGGAGCATATGTTAAGTAGCATAAATATGTTAGGAATGTGTATTTGTCAATGCTGAGTCCTTTCTCCTGCCAAGAACAATGTAATATCTTATCACCAGATACAAAGAATGAATATTAGCTCAATCTGTAAAGGTGTGGCCTATAAGATAAAGATATTGAACGGGGCTTGAAATTCCGCAATGTCATGACATGCAAAAAGGAGAAATAGAAATATTAATGTTGAGACCTGCTTTATATGCATCTGCCTATAGAAAACAACAGGTAAATCTCACGTCAACTGAACATCAACCATTCATTTATGCTTGGAAATTACCGACATCTCTAAATAAAATTCCTAGTTCCATTCTTCCATGTGCAACACCTATCTGTAGACAAACTCAAGCAGTACCAATCTTACATGTCCAAAACTAACAGTGGGTCTCTCTTCTATCACTGCCATACTACACATCACCTGGATAATACACATTCTAACTTAACTGGTACGAGTAAACTGGAATAGTGAAGTACCTGCAAAGCAAAGTAGCATGTCTTGCCAGAATAACAAACTTCACATTTCTGCATGTGTTTCTGTACCAAGAGTGCTCATGTCAGCACAGTCCAGTATTTAACAAGATACTGTGCTGTGCAAATGGAAGATGATGGTATGCCAGGGGATATAAATATGTCCAATGTATGGTCAAAAACAAAATAAAGGATCTTTCTTATCATTTTAACAGAAGTAAATTGAGTCAAAAAAAAATCAGAGAGTTAATATTGGCAATTTAAGTTTGAATTTGAGTAGTTGAAAACACCACAAATACTTCTTGGACTAGAATTCACATCTGAATTTGGATGCACATCCACATGTTCACGAGATTAGCTTGATTTCAAATCTAAACTACTTAATAAATGTGTGGAAATCAGAAAATATTTTAAAGCATCTCATGGATGCAAAACTTAATATGCATAACATAGGACAGAAAGCTAAGTTATCAGGGTACATAGTACCTTGTGATCAAAGTGAGACGAACTAAGTGTCCAGCAGTAATCACATCCAAAGCTAATCATCCGTAATACAACTGTCACATGAAATGGAGAAGGGCATAAAAACAACAAATTTGATGATAATGGCATATATCAATAATCCAGACAAATTAGAAGTAACACAAAAGGCACAAATATGATGCATGAACACTATGGTGATATATGAAATAACTGTTGTGATAGCCAGATAAAACATACACAGCAGGACAGTTGCCTATATGAGGTAGTCAAGTTCTATGACACTTGATCCCACAAAAGCAACCATCATGAAAGAAGTGTTCATTGACTTGATACAGGAGAGGAAAGTAACCATGTAATTCGATAGCTTAAGTTTACTGCCTCACCTGTTCGAAACTCTATGAGGTTTGGGGAATCTGTTCCTACCGACTGAAAAATATAATTTAACACAGTTCATGTGATAATAACTCGTGCTCTCTAGATGAGATCTACATGAACTACTTATAAGTCTAGTTTTGCAATTCAAGTATTCAACACAAACAATGCTCCAGAATTTAAGCCTTTCAAAACCTCCTAACTACTATTTCAAGTGAGAGTAACCCTACATTTCCATACAGTAAGAATCAACAGCAAAATTTGTCAAAAAATTTTCAATCAGAGTCAAACCAAGTAACAAACACAACATGGAAATCGTACCAAAATTGAAGCATATGTGCCATCGAAATGTACCCCGATAGTTATCAAGAAAAGCCAGTTGTTGCCTATTTATATGAACATAAATATCATCAGAACCTAAATGAAAAGGAATCTTACTAAGGGAAGTGCAAGAAACAGTACAGCGACATTGAAAATCTCACCCGAACAATGAGAATGAATACCCTTCATAGACCCGGTTAAGTGTAAGCATAGCTAAGTTGAAGCTCCATATGATGCCAGTGCAGTACTTATATCGAGCAAATAACTACAAACAAAAGACTGTGGTCAACAATAAATGCTAATTTGATTAATATCAGGAGACCAAATTTGTTAATGGCTTAATGCTTCAAAAGGTAAATTATAAAAGGTGTTTCTTTGTTTGTTCTGACCATTCTCTTAGCTTAGTACCTAGTAGATTCATCAAGTAACCATTAATCAAACCTATTTAACAATAGAAAGAAGAAATCAATTCGGTCACTGCAGCGTACATGATCGAGTCCAACTGATGGTGCCAAGATGATATAGACCCACATAGCAGATCAGGTGTAAGCTTGGCTTTCTTTTCACCATGTTCACTATGTTGACTATTCGATTCTTAAATGGAGTAACTGTTATAATTGTTATGGTTAACAGGTTTACGTTGGTGAATGGAACACGAATAATCAAGACAGTAGGCTTGCTCTTAAATGCACACATCAGCGTTGGCCAAACAAGTACTTTGCCTAGATAAAGTTTCTAGAAATACTTGATCCACTAGAAACAGATGGTTGCTTTTAACTGACAATGATTCAGAACAAGAGTTCAGCTAGTGAACCAATCAGCCTACCATGTCCTTCCATTATTCCTTTCCTAAAAGTATCTTTATATGTTTATTTACACAGACAACAGACAAGAAAATATTTAGACAACTGAAATCAGAACAATAGCTTTAATTTTAAAAACAATGTCAGCACCGACCTTGACTATGGCATAATTAATCCCTGCTATTACAAGAATGAAACCAACACTGTCACATAAGTAAACAAGTTAGCACGTTTATTTATTTATAAAAAAAGAGATAAAAGGGGCATAAAACTAGGATCAGTCGGTCGCCTACCAAGCACCATGTAGGTAGCATAGATAGATCAGGGACAATATAAGCCAGACCAACGAGGCCCCTCTGCCCTTCAAGCCACAGCCGTATCGCAGCCCATTCGCAACAATCAGAAATGCAGCCATGACAACGGTGAGAACAGGCAAGTTCCCACGGAAGTTTCTCCATTGCCCATCAGACGAGTCCTGTGACATCCACACGAGGAAAATCAAACCGGGTGGCTCTTATTAATCCTTGAGGCGAACTGAAAGGGTGAAGGCGCAAAATTACACACGTTCAGACGGCCGGGGATTGATCCAGCTCTCAGGCCGTAGAGTTTCCCGGTGTAATCTGCGCGTCAAGAGAGAGTAAATGCGATGTGATGCCGAGCAGCACTGAGATGATGTCGACGGATGAGTAGGTGGAAGTGTGGGGGTGGTTGGTACCGCGTGCGAGGCGAAGCGACCTCTGGATCATGGCGCTGTAGAACACCACCGCGTAGGCGCACAGCGCGGCGAGCTCCAGCCGCTTCCACGGGACGCTGCTCATCTTGCTTGCACCGGGAGAAACCGGCGAACCGGGGGCGGTCATAGAGGCGCGGGCGGCGGCGAGGATCGAGGGAGGAATGGGAACGGGAGGCGGTGGGCGCCGGCCCTGATGGTCGCCGGCGGGGGAGATGCGGGGTTGTGCCTCGCCGTCGGATCTAAAAAGCTTCGGACCAAAACCACCTCCCGTCAAGCCGCCGTCGCTGAAGCAATAGAGGCGTACTCCCAGTCCCCGCTTTCAGGGCAGCGATACGCACCCTTGGGCCTACGTTTTCGGTCCCACATCTCGGCCCAACCCGCGGGCCACGTCAGCGACACGACCCCACCACGGGCGGCCACGCGTCCACCCCCTCGTCCTCGCCTCGTCCCGCGGAGCGCGCACGCACACGTCAGCGCACTCCCTCCGTGCGCCGGGCCCACGAGCCAGGGAGAGCGGTACGAGACTGCGGTACCCGTATTTTGCAGAAACGCCCCTCCCCTTCTCCGCAATCGCAACCGCAAACCCGATCCCATCCCATTTCCCACAGGCACAGTCTAGTCCCCTCCCCTCCCCGCTCCCCCACCCCCTTCTTCCTCCGCCGGCCGGCCACTCCGCCGAATCCAATCCAGGTACCGCCTCTCCGGCCTCCCGCTTCGATTTCGCGCTCCGGCGACGCAATCGGGCGAGCAGAATCCGCTCCCAATTTTTTCAGCTTTTTTTACCCCATCATTCCATCGCTGATTCGAGCGCCGAGAAAGGTTCGGGGTTGAGCAAAACCCTGCCTGCTTCGTGTTCTGTAATCACGCTGATACCCGAATTCTGTCCCTGAATTGATCCGCTCCATGAACATTTGATGCAACAGCGAGCGCGAATCCTACCTACCAAGCCGGTGTTGAGAAGCAGTTCGTTCCTGTGCCCTTTGGTGAGTGGCAATGGCAGCGGCAGGGAGACTGCGGGGACGGCGGCGGGCGCTCAAGGAGGTGGAGCGCGAGCCCGAGCCGTTCACCATCGAGGAGGAGGTGTCCCACCTCACCCGGGTTCGGTCGGAGCCGTGCCCCGGCACCCGCGCCGCCATCCATGGCGCCAGGCGGAAGAGGGACTTCTCGGCTTTCGAGATGCTGTCGTCGAGGGAGTCCGGCCTCTCGGGAGGCGGCGGGTTCTGTTCGGCCGACCGCGCCTACGCCGCCGGGAAGCACCTCCCGTCGGAAGGACCGTGGTGCGTGGAAGACATGGATAGCGAGGCCTATGTCTCGCAGTTCTCCAGCGATGGCTCGCTGCTCGTTGCCGGGTTTCGGGTAGGTGATCCTGCATGCTCCTTCTTCTTCTTCTTCTTTACAAGGCAAATGGTTAAGTTGTGCAGCTATTGTGGCTAATCTTTCTCTACATTCCTAAATTTGATGATAAGGGAAGCCGCATCAGAGTTTACGATGCCGATAGAGGGTGGAAGGTTCATAAGAACATAAGCTGCAGAAGTATGAGGTGGACGGTTTCAGATATTGCTCTCTCCCCTGACCAGCGATACCTTGTAAGTCTGTTTTGCTCCCATACTCTCTCTCTCTCTTGGGTTGGATCAACCATTATTTTTCTTGATAATTCTTGGACATAGATAAAATGAATAGTTAAAGATTGAAGCACTGATTGCATTAGCTGGTTATGGAAAACAGATCACTATAGCACTGACATTTGGCTGCACTTTCATTTTTGAGAAAACGCAAAGCTTGCGATTCAATGCAGTGATAGGGAAAAAGCATTCTTTATAAGCCTAAGACTAGGCCAATACAACCAACACTTATGGCAAGACGACAACTCTTAGGCCCTTCTCAGTGCTCCATGGTGTACAGGTGCTAAGGGTGCCACATAGGCAAAAAAATGATTGTGGTAAAGGAATTAAAGAGGAGAGAGAACATTGTGGTGACCCTAGGAAGAAACGGTACTAAGCGCGTGGACCTATGTAAAATGTCTATTAACCGATGCATGAAGAAATTTAGTCATTAAACAATTAAATACAGAAAGCTTAGCTACAAAAGCTAAGCACCTATGCACTTAGTCAATGATTCCTTGCATCATAGGTGTTGCTGCGTCTTGAGATCCTAATTGCCATGGTTCCGCAGCATCACAAAGAGCGATTGTGAGGAATTGACATGATAATGAACAAGGAATCATTGGAATTTCCCGTCTTTTTCAGCTCTGCTCCTGAAAAGAGAAAGGAAAGGAGACTGATCTTGACGTCGGCGTTGGTTTTTCCAACGAAAAACAAGAACATTCTTTCACGAACTTCCATGACAAAATGCTAGTTGCCTTGTAATGCATACACTGGAGCGTTTGTCCCATCGACGAAGGCCACTATACGCGTTTCCTGAAGTGCAACATTCTCTTATAACCAAACATCGCAAAGACCGAAAGGAGTATCCTGAACGGTGGAGACTAGTTGCTAAGCTTTTTAATGCACTTAGCACCTCACGCAAGCTCCAATGTATTGGAAGAGGCCTAAATTTAGTTTGTACGCAATAGTCCATGTCCAATAGTTTTTCTCTTAAGATATTTATGTAGTGCATTTGGAGTCGGACGCAGACGTTTGCCTCTCGGATGCGCAGCACACCGATATGTGTACCAATGTTAATTGCATGGAGATGTTGCATTAAATTAGGCAAAAATTTGGCTGATTGCTCTACATATTCAATACTTTGCCATATACTTCAAAATAATGCTTTGAAGTACATACTGTATCCAAAAATAAAAGTTAACCCCCTAAGACAAGGCTTTTCAAAAGCCACCACGATGTCAATTGCTTTTTGATAGCATTTACTCAATCACTCATCGCAAGGTTTGCTACTTTACGTTACCATTTTAAGTTGAAAGTTAAATCAAATTTACACACAACACTCACTTTTTCTCTGGAAAATTATTCCTTGAGGTGTACCTTCTGGGGTTTTTTATGCAGTTGTTTGCTGACTAATCAAGTTGTATTCTGGTTATTTCATGCTCGTTTATATGCTTTCTTATTCATTTTTCACTCAAGTCATTCAATCCTTCACAGGCCTATTCCAGTTTGTCGCCTATTGTTCACATTGTGAATGTGCAGAATGCTGGAAGAGAATCGGATGCTAATGTTACTGTATGTTCTATACTCTGAAACTATGACTGCATGCTCATGTGGTCATGCCGTACTCATAAAATGTAAGTGATGTGCATGTAATCCATTTTTTGAATGTTTCTTTTTCTGCAGGAAATTCACGAGGGTTTGGAATTCTGTGATGACGATGAATACTCTTTCGGGATATTCTCTGTGAAATTTTCAAAAGATGGTAGAGAAGTAGTTGTTGGGAACAATGATTGTTCAATACATGTCTATGATCTTGGAGCAAATAAAGTGTCTGACCGTATCCGTGCTCATACGGTATGAAATAACTCGATTAGCCATATGCATCTTGGTTCAATCATTTCTCTGGCTGCTTTATTCTTTCTTTCATTCCATACCATGTTGTCTCGGCTATCTCATTCCATACCATGTTTAAGATTCCTAAAAAAATGCTTGTTATCCACACAAGAACAATTATTGCCTCAAAGGTCAAAGCAAATCACCATCACTTGAAATTCCTAAACAACATCATAAAAGGGTTATGGTGTTCACGCGTTCTTTGGGTCGTGCCATCCTTGGCGATGTAAGGGTTGTGCTGTCTTTGGCATTGTATCTCTTTGTATTTTACCTGGCTACGGCCCAGCAATAATGATGAGTACAGATAAGACGTATGTATGCGGAGGCGTCCTGTGGACCAATAACTCTATGAGAGCCTGTAGCGACGTTAGGCCGGCAGCCCCTAGCACCTGGACCGTCCATGGTACAGTATCACACAAACATAACCAACGGCTCAGAAACTGAGCTGGATTAGATTGATGGAGCAAACGAATAGCACATAGTAGGAGGAAGAAGAAGCTGTGAATCTTAGCACTGGAATTCATAGTGAATCTGGGCAATCGGCCGGAAACGTGATAATCGAGTACTTGGAAGTAGTAACTATTCGATTTGTAGCTCGACGGGCAATTCAGTCAAGTACTGCTCCCTATCTTCAGTCAATGGCAGCCTGTTTTTACAAGTGTCTAGTCATTATTTTTGTATGTGATTTCAGATTAAAACGTAGCTCATGTTAATTCGGAAGTATCTTCGGTGCTTTAGCGGTGATATTAGTATATGTTTGATTCCCCCGCAAAAAAATCAGTATATCTTCGATTCATTTGGCGATTGGCATAGCAAAGTAGAAATAAAACAATGTGCACATTACATGCAAATGAAAAATTCATTCCAAGATCAAGAGACATTTTCTTCGTTCTAGCAATGGTAAATGTGCAGTTCATTTTTCATGTGTTAGCTGGACTGAAAGTTAAAAACATGTGTGCATTGTTTCCTTCGGAGAAAATTAGTATCAAGAATTGAAGCCTGTTGGATACAAGTTGACATGTTAGGTCTGCTCCATGTGATTGTGCGAAATGTGCCAACAGATCGAGTTGGAGTACTCAAGAGGTTGATCAGGGGTTTGGTTAAGAGAATTGAAATACCATGAGCCTGACATGAGAGACGACGGTCGATTCATTGGGTTAGGCATATGACCTTTACAGCCTCAACTCCTAGGAGATTGGATTTGGAATTTGGTACGGCAAGAGCAGGTTGAGCATTAGATGATGAAGTCGATGTGTGAGGACAAATTCTGTAGAGATGTCTTGACTTACCATACAAACCATTACGGCATGCCAATTAGGCTATTAGTGAGTGTGAATAATCACTTTCAGCATGCGTTCAACTATTATATGTGCTCGTGCGTATGTAGAGCAGGTCTGCAAGATGAGATGAGTTCTATCTTGTAGTGGTGATGCGTAGAATTTTCCATTAGAGATGTCATGACTTACCATACAAACCATTACGGCATGACAAATTCTGTAGAGATGTCATGACTAACCATACAAACCATTACGGCATGACAAATTCTGTACAGATGTCATGACTTACCATACAGACTATTACTTTTTTTGAAAAGGGGAATATATTAATATCGCGAAGATACCAATTACACCCAGCCTCTGCATCTACAAGATGTCATAAAGACATCCAGGATGCACACAGCCAAAGGAGAAAATAAAAAGAAAGGTCCCGCCACAGCGACCGACTCCTCTCAACAGCAGCACACATACCGCCACCTATTACAACATGCGGAAAACATAAAAGGTCTTGAAAAGCAACGCCTCCAAGAAGGGAACAGCGCACAAGCACCGTTGTTGCCCAATCCAAGATCCTAGGTTTTCACCCTGGAGAACGTCCGCGCTCTCAAAACAATTCCTTCAGCAAGGCAATTGTCAGGCACAACCAATGAAGGTCAGACCTTAGGTTTTCACCCTGAAAGTCATGACTCGGCACCCGAGGAGTGCCACAAAAATGAAATCCGCCAGTGTTGCCACCCCCACTTATTACTGCTGCTCCTGAGAGTTATCTGACACCTGGCTGACTCCATCGCCACCAAGGCTCCATCTGTCTAACTGATCCTCCAATCTCGGCCATCATGAGCTTCTCCACCGCTGTCTGCACCATGGAAATTGAGAAGCCATGGAAATTGAGAAGCCGACATGTCCCAAGGTGTCATCAACCAACAGAGTTTGGCACCACGCCCCCAGAATCTCTTAGGCTGATATGGACGTGCACGACCGGAATCTAACCTATCCAGATATCGTGAGCAAGATCTCCGGCGGCCGTTCCGGAACATGTTGATGGCCAGATCGAAGACCGATCACTTTCACCATTACGGCATGCCAATTAGGCTATTAGTGGGTGTGAATAATCACTTTCAGCATGCGTTCAACTATTATATTTGCTTGTGCGTATGTAGAGCAGGTCTGCAAGATGAGATGAATTTTATCTTGTAGAGAATTTTCCAAGGTTTTTTAAGCGCTAGGCGCTGAGCGAGTGTTGTGCCTCCGCTTAGTTCAGTGACAGCTTAAGCGGCACCTGGGCGCGCTTAAGCATTATGTACGGATGTCGTACGGACAGGAACAAGGGCACCCAAAAATCAGTTTTCATAGCATGTAATGCATGTATATAAGCCTAAAATAGCAAGCATGTTGGGGAAGGAGAGATGAGTAGGAGCTCGAGGTCGGGGATGGGGAAGAAAGCTGGCAGCAGCAGCATCGGGGAAGAAAAGCCACCAGGCTCCAGCCTAGATGGGGAGGAGCTCAAGATCGGGGAAGAGGCATGTATATAAGCCTAAAATAGCAAGCATGTTGGGGAAGGAGAGATGAGTAGGAGCCCGAGGTCGGGGAGGGGGAAGAAAGCTGGCAGCAGCAAGGTCAGGAATAAGATCTCGAGGTGCAGCGGCGCTAGGTCGGGAAAGAAGATGGATGGTGAGGTCGGGGAAGAAAGCCCCAGATCTGGCGATGCAAGGTCGCCTTGCTTTCCTATGTCTCTCTCACCCTGCTATCCTTTGTCTAACCCTAGGCGTCCGAGCGCTTTTTTCAGCGCTTAACCCAAAAGCGAAGCGGTAGGCCTCCCCTCAGCGCGCCTAGGCGTACACTCAATTTTTCACTGGAATTTTCCATTTGCAGTCTCATAAAATGATAGCAATTCACTTTGTGAGTTTTCAGTATTGCCGAAATGCTAGCTTGGTTCCTGCTAGAAGTCCGTCCAGAAAGTCTAGCATGTCAGACAAGGACGTAAAATTCCATCTGCACTCTTTCCATGAATAGCCATTGCCGCATTTAATTAGGATGTCAGGTGTGGGCCACGAACGATTGGAAATGTCTATAAAAGCTGGCTATACATGCAGAAATACAGTGTGTTGCAAATCCCAAGAGGATTGCATGGTCCAGATTTCATGTGCAAGCGTGCTCGGGAGCCAAAGCGGTTTTCCGTATATCTCAGTCCTTTCATCATAGAAGTGTATCTGGTACCTTGAGATTTTCCATACTTTCTTTTGGGTAGTTGGAAGTAGTCACACGGTTTCATTGAATGTGAGTCTGCCATCTTGAATACTGATGAAATGCTTTGGAGGAAACATAAGAAACAAAATGAAATAGCACTTTTGCAATATAGTTTTCATTCTTCCATCACAGTATATCATGATGGGTATGTATTCCAGGTTTGAGGTAGTCTAGGTTTATGGGAGTATCGTGACTTAACCACTGGATCATCAGTTCATTGCATTAATGCATAATCACTTATTACATTTTACATAAGAGGAACTTATTGTAAAATCAGAATCACATGGATGTAGATAATGTACTGATGGTGTCAAAGCTAGAACCATCCTCACTTGAGCAGTATAAGATTCATATGATTGTTGGATGCCCTGGAGTAAGTTAGTAATGCTTTGTTTTTCACAATCTCATTTTCTTCTCCATTGGTTCTGCAAGTCTGATGTCAACACGGTCACCTTTGCTGATGAAAGTGGCAATTTGTTGTACTCTGGAAGTGATGATAATCTCTGTAAGGTCAGTATTCTTGTTAACTTCTCTAGATTGTTGTTTTACTTCTCTTCCTTCTGTTTATTTTGCTTCAATACAACTATCTAGTAATTAGTATATTTTATAGAGAACAGAACGAAAATACACTTTGTGTATAATAAATGTAGCTGCCTGGCTGGACTTGAAGAGTACTAGTTAATAAACCATTAGTTTTATGCTTCTGATGGCTTTAAAAGAGAAGAATGAACCTGTTATCGTTTAGATTCTGCTACAAGAGTAAACAATGGAGTGCCTGTTGGAAGTTCGATCAACCTTTTATATATGCACCATCCTTTTATCTCATTCTTGCATTAGCCTAATGATACTTCATAACTCTTAGGTCTGGGATAGGCGTTGCCTTGTAAGAGAGAAACCAGCAGGTGTTTTGACAGGTCACTTAGATGGGATTACATGTATTGATAGCCGTGGTGATGGGCGTTATCTAATCTCCAACTGCAAGGATCAGACTATCAAACTTTGGGACGTCAGAAAGATGTCCGCCACTGTAAAAGGGTAATGCTTTTGTTTTACAGATGTACATAATGCTAACAATGTTCTGTTCCAATTCGACCATGACAACTCCCAAATTTGTATATTTCTCAAATTTCTACCTTTTTCACAGACGACAACCAAGATTATATGACTGGGACTACAGATGGATGACGTTCCCATCACATGCTAGATATTATAAGCATCCAAATGATCTGTCTCTGGCAACATACAGGGGTCATTCAGTTCTGCGGACACTTATCCGCTGCTACTTCTCTCCAATGCACAGGTTAGGAGTGAATTAGGGATTATGCTTTGTCACATTCAAATTTGGATTAGCTTTTTAACTTAGCATGGCTTTTATTATTGCTGGAAAGGTTATTAGCACTTTAATCTGGATTGTTGGTTTACCCTATGATCCTACTGGGTCTTGTGGTATGGAGTATTTGGTGTGATCAGATCAGATTGGGCCTGTGATCCAGAAAGCGACTCTTGGCATTGTGATGGAGTGGAGGGGGCACCACTCCATCCACAATGGTTCAAATCTTGGTGCTCACATTTGCACACACGTTGGTGCGCTTCAGTAGAAACTTTGTGAAATTTGTGGATTTGTTAAGGTGGTGATTCGCATGCGTCTGTTTGTCTGTGGCACAAAAGAGAAAGATTGGGCTTGCGATCCAGATCTGGGAGGCAGGGCCACTAAAATTAAGATTCAGTTGTGGTCCTATCAGATTGCATTTTTAAAAGCAAATCATGTCTGGTTGCTTGAAAATCAAATATGCATGATAAGTTGAGTTTGGGATGTTTGATTTATTTGGTCCTTCCCGCCCCGTATGCAAATGTCTAAAGAAACACTAGTACTAACCCGTAAGCTGCACAAGAAGAGATCGCCATGTGAAAAAGCTGGCGCACAAAGTAACCTAATTCAGTTGTTTCTAGGTTCCCAACAGCATTGGTTGCTATAGTTTGTAGTTGTACCCACTTGAAATCAAACTTGTGATGATGTCACATTATTGGCCACAATGCATTTAAATTATCATTTTCAACAGACATTTAGATCAACATGGATCATGTGTAACTCCGAACTATGCAAGTCACCTCATTGTTTTCTCTTTCATTCTTGTGTTATCTTTTGCAGCACGGGCCAGAGGTACATATACACTGGATCAAGTGACGATTCAGTGCATATTTACGATGTGGTATGTAAATCCAATCTTCCCGCATTTTCCAAATTATAGTATGCCTACTTCAGTGTTTGCAGATTGTTGTTATCCACTACAAGCCTGCTGCTCGTGCAGGTAACCGGGGCGACCGTGAAGAAGCTCTCGTGGCACGGTTCGATCATCAGAGACTGCACCTGGCATCCTTATTGTTCAACGCTCGTAAGCTCTTCCTGGGACGGCTATCTGGCCCGGTGGGAGGCATCAGGTGACAACGAGGACCCCTCGGTGCTCACGTGCGACGAGCAGAGGACTAGCCCTTACGACCAGACATACGGGCTCTCTTTTGCCCTGTAGTAAGTTGCAGAGGACATGGCGTGATAAGCAGAGCCGAGGCGAGCTCGTGATGAACCTTTATGTTGGGTTGTGGCGGTTTATGATTGATGTGCTTGTATGGCAGTATAAGCACAAGCAGTCATGCATTGTATGTCTGAGGCAACTTGTGCTCCTCTTGCTGTCACTGATAGAAAATAGTGATGTTAACAAGATGTAGCCGTTGCTTTTGTAAATTTGTTTGCAGTCGATCAGGTGGCGTCAGTGACAAAGTCGTATGTAACTATGCAAGTTTTTTGTTGTTGTTGAGAGAATTGTAACTATGCAAGTTAATAATGCATGTGCATTCTGTTGCCATACAGAAATGTATATTTAGTGATGAGTAAATAACGCTGGTGATGCAACAACTTGACCTGCGGGTGTGGTTTCATCCCCAGAATCTTGTCCCTGTCATTCCAGTTACATTGATGTGTTCGTGGTCTGTGAGTCGCGAACATTGGTGTTTGGCAGGGCGACGGCATCTCTCATCGACGGGTATAGGACCATAATGAGTGTATAGGCTGGCCATTATGTGGTTCTTTTGTGTTACGTGTTGCCAGTTTAGGGCTGGTTGTGCATTCATGTGCAGCTGCCAATTTCGTAAAGTCGCAAAACATAATACTTAGCGAGGTGAAAGTGTAGAAACTTTAGATGCACTACGCGTGCATGCAATGATTCGCCGATGGTGGCATCATGCAATTATTCAGGCAAAATATTGTCTTCGGGTAATGTGCAAAGAGTAGTGATGTGATGATGTTTAATAGGATAGGAACCTATTGCCAGTAACTTCGTCTGACTTCTACTCACTGTCATTGACAGAATTGCACAAATATGATAACAAATGCATCATTTCTTTGCAACATCACCAAAAGAGATGCAATTACCCAGTCAATGCATCATTTCACTTCCACTTCACTAACCTAATCAAAGCATCCTAATCCAAACAAGGACCCTCACAAATGGCGTCCAGCCTATGTGCTAGCACATCATGGCCACTAGCAGCAATTACAATTGCATCTTTCACCTCTCAACTCCTCTCTCTGTTCTTTTGTCCTGCTGATGAAACGTAGCAAAGATTACTAGCTCCAACTGTCTCCGACTGCATTTGTGCACGGCTAATTGTCGGTAGAATGGGAGTAGGATCAATCATGGTGTAGACCTTCATCACCCTTCACTTGCAGCAGGGGCACTTTATAAATTCATGCTTTAGTCAATTCATCTAAATATTTGAACCGATGAAGAGAGGCCGCATATTTTTTAATACTGAGTTGGCAAGATCTTAAACTCAAACTTCTTGCTCGAAAACTATGTTTAATGAGATCTTTTATGGTACATCACCTTAAGGGGGTCATTCATTTTTGTGATTGGACAGTCCAAATGAAGCAATTAACTGCAAGAAAGGAAAAGTACTAAGCTACTATGTGACGAAGGGCAGGTCCACGAGGATGCAACCAGCCGTGTGCATCTGAGGAGACGGCCTTTGGGCGGCACAGGGCGGCTGCATCATCGCTTGGTCAGGAGGGAGGGGGATCTCAGTCCGGTCGTGCGATGGAGAGAGACCGGCCTTATGCGGCCCACGAGTGGTGTGGGGCGACTGCGTCAAATTGTTGGGTTGGCCAATTAATATTGGCCACTGGATCAACTAAATTTATGCTCCATTTAACCCCATTCATCCAAATGTTGGAAATGAAGAGAATGGGTCAATATATTTTAATGCATGTCATAACTCTGACACGGCTCCTACTTGTCCTCTTCCCATGCCCGGCAGGTAGCGAGAAGACTTGTGGCGACGTGCGGCGGCATTCCAACAATATGTAGTGGCGGCAGTCCGACGACATTTGGCTGCAGCGGTAGGCTGCGGCGTGGTGGTCAGACAGCGGCGCGCTGACTTGGCAGTATTGGGTTTTCGATTGGGAGAAGGCCAACTCCCCCACCAAATAGGAAAAGTGGACTATTTTTTTGGTGATCACCAATAATTTAGTAGGTAAAGGAGAGCCATTGGAGCAGCTTTTTGTCCCAACTCCTCCAATATCATGATTTTATTGGTCAAGGGCAGCTGCTAGAGATGCTCCTAGGAGAGCTTCACAGTCGTCGATTAGTTTCCCCACCCATTTCCGTTGCATAAGTGCTCTCACCTTCTTCCTTCTCCACTCATTCTCAGGCTTCCACCTATTTCTTCTTTTATCCTACTTCATCCCTGACAGAGTTCGGTCCATGTGAGTGGCCGACCACTTCCTAGCAATTCGATAATTGTTTCATATACGTACATACTAGTACTACTCCCTCCGTAAAAGAATATAAAATTGTTTAGATCACTACTTTAGTGATTTAAACATCCTTGTATTTCTTTACAGAGAAAGTACATTTTGATGCGGCCTTTCATGCGGCACAAGCAATCGATCAGGCACTCTGTTAACTATGCCAAGATGGTTCTTCAGACCATGAGCATCTTTGATTCTTATTGCCGTGTTGTTACAGGGGATGATCCTTTGATGAGTATTTCTATAAAAAAATTGATGCATCAATAAGATTCTCGATTCTTGCCCCGCAAAAGAAAAAAGGATTATCGGTTCTTAATAAGAACTTTGCTAAGGCCAGTGGGAGGTAGTTGACCCACAGGTGTGAGAGAGTATCTGGTGATACGAGAGGCTAGGTGCTCCCATGATACGAGATGACGTGAGCCCTTGGATCTGAAATCCAAAGGTTAGAGGATAGGCTACTAAAACTTTTCAGAAAAGACCTCTAGAAATATGATATTCAGGCACAAGTCGAGGAGCTCATCCCGTGACCCTTGGATTTCAGATCCAACAACCCACGTCGTCTCGTACCATGGGAGCACGTAACTTCAGTATCACCTGATACTTTCTCCCGTGAGTGTAGCGCGTCAGTTCGTGTAGCCAGCATCTGGTTAGGTGAGCATGAGTTGTATATATGTATACGATACGAGTAGCAAAGCCCTAATTTACTGCCTAGGTTGCTTGGTTGACTTATATTAAGCTTTAATTGGCTAATTACCTTGCTTGCCGCTCTCCAGCTAGGCATGCAAAGAGCATGGTTAACAATATAGCCAACATGTTGTCATGTCATTTATAGCCAGCATATATAGTAGTTGGATATAAGGAAGTACTCCTTCTGTCAGCTTGCAAAGATGTCTTATATTGTGGGACAGATGGCATGCTACTTTGTTAACATATGACTCATCTTTCACTCTAATAAAACTTCTTGGGAGCCCATGACGAGAGGATAGGCGACTCACGACTCAGCGAGCCTCGATCTAGCGCCGCCGCCGCCACCACCCAACGCTAGATCCCTCCTCGTTGCCCCCTTCCGGTTGGCGCATCTTCCTTCCCAGTCACATCTTTCCTCCCCTTGCCGCCGCCCGATGCGCCCTCCGGCAAAGTCCAGATGGCTCTCGGGAAGGCAGTGGCGAGGCCCTTTTCTAGTTGATCGGCACTACTGTAGCGGTTGTGATCCATGGATTCGAGGCGGCGGTCCCATGGAGAGGCGGCGGCGTCCTCATCGAGACGGTGCCCGGGACGGCGGAGGTTCAAATCAGATCTGACCTCTACTGCGGCGGCGGCGGCGTGATGGGCCTTGTCTCCGGTCAGATCTGATGTGGTCGGTGCAGCCTGCTCCATGCACGACGGCGGTGATCGGTGGCGGTCCCCTGCACACGATGCTAGATGGAGGATCCTCGAGCGGATCTGGGTGAAAACCCTACTCTTGGCACGTTGCCAAGGTCGGCGATGGTGGCATTTTTCTGCGTCGTTCCCTTCTTGAAGGCATAATAGTGGAGAAGTGTAAGTGCATCTAGTGCCACCCCTAGTTGGTTTTGGAGTATTGACGACAAACGTGGTTAAGAGACTAATGTGTTTGTGAGAATTGCAGGATAACACAGGTAGAAGTCCCTCATTGATTCAGTTTACCTACCAGAGATGACCCCTAAAAATGTGTGAAGACATTGAAGACAATGGTGGTTCATGAAGACATTCATGACGAAGATTATGACACGTGAAGATATTCACTTGAAGACTATGGAGTGCGAAGACATAGTTGTTTTGTAGCTTCCTTTCTTCTTTATTGAGTCATAGGAACCACCGTACTATTAAGTGGGGTCCAAGTGAACAAAGTTAGAGTGACAGAAGTGATGCTCAACCAAATCCTATGTCTTCGAGCGAAGATAATGAGAGCAAACCTTATCCAGAGATGGATGAGTCAGCTTTGCTTGTAGCCCAAGCCAAGCTGCCGCGTGTGTTTGAAATCTGACCGTTGGAAACGTGTCAATTCCTTAGTGACCCAGGGTCATTTCGGACATATTAGGTCGGGTTGACTCCTGGCTATAAATAGCCCACCCCCTACACCATAAATTGGTGGCTGCTCAGAGTTAGTGCATGGCTTTTGTCGTTTGAGAGCAACCCACCTCCGAAGCATTTGAGAGAGAGATCCTTGCGAGGACTAAGTGTTGGGGAACGTAGTAATTTCAAAAATTTCCTATGCACACGCAAGATCATGGTGATGTATAACAACGAGAGGGGGAGTGTATCTTCATACCCTTGAAGATCGCTAAGCGGAAGCGTTTATCAACGCGGTTGATGTAGTCGTACGTCTTCACGATCTGACCGATCCAAGTACCGAACGCACGGCACCTCCGAGTTCTGCACACGTTCAGCTCGATGACGTCCTCGCCTTCTCGATCCAGCAAGACGGGCGAAGTAGTAGATGAGTTCCGGCAGCACGACGGCGTGGTGACGGTGTTGGTGAAGAACAATCTCCGCAGGGCTTCGCCTAAGCACTACGGAAACTATGATGGAGGATAAACTAGAGGGGACGGGGTTGCCGGCACACGGCTTGGTGTTTCTTGATCTCTCTTTGGTGCTAGCCCTACCCCTCTATTTATATGTTGAGCCTTGGTGTCGAAACTTGGAGTAAAAGCCTCCACAAAGTCGGTTTCACCCGAAAGGCAAGAGTCCTTCTCGGACTCTAGG